GGGCGCATGCGCTCGCCAGAGAGACAGAGAGAGCCAGAGAGACAGAAAGCGAGAAATCCCCCCCCAGGGGGGATGGCCACGCTGCACTCCCTTCTCCTCCATTCTCCTCTTGGGACCTTGAGCACGCCCGCACATGTGCATGGCGTGAGTTTAAGCCACCGGGTCCGGGACTCGAACCATGGTCAACTACATGGGAGTCCAGTGATATAGCCATTACGCTAACTGCTGGTCCCCCAAACGCCAGATTTTGATGTGAAGTCTCCTAAGTTTTAAACGTCAAGTCAGGGGCCAGCAGGTGGCGTGGTGGCTGAGGTACTGGACGCCCACATGGCGGACTGCAGTTCAAGTCCTAGAACTGGCAGCTTGCTTTCTCACTTTCCCCTTCTCTTGCTCTGTCTCTCTGGTCAAATGAAAAAACGAATAAATAAAATAAATAAAGTTTAAAAAAAATCAAGTCAACAAGACACTCAAAGAAACTTTTAGAACAATGAGTGGTGAACACCACGGCGGGTGGTGCTGGCCTTCCGGAGCAACTTGGACGTGACCCTGGGCGGGAGCTACTCAGCTCTACGGTCCTGCTCCGTCCTCACTCACCACAGTGCTCCAGGCGGTGGAGAAGCTTCAGGTTCGTCCTCCCATCCTGTGGCACCCTGAGACCCAGGACGCTGCCCAGGTCCTGGCCCGGGGATCGGAGCCTCCCTGTTATTTCTGGTGGCTTCATATCCTCAGGCCATGCCCCGTGGTTGATGAACTGCCCGCGGGCACTGGCAAGTGGGATGGCCTCGGGGGATTGCTTCAGTGGAAGGCTTTCAGCAGTAAGTTATGACACTCAGCTCCCTGTGGTGTAAACTGTGATCACGGTTATTGTTTATTCAACCCAAACCCAAGATTAGGAAACGCTGGCTTACTCTGGCAGCTCGCGGAGACTACCTCGTCTTTCCACCCTCCCGCCCCGCCACCCGCTTATGGCGTCTTCAGCCCTTATCTCTCAGGTCTTCCGAGAGCCCCTCAGCGCCATCGTGCACAAAGACCTCAGGCATGGGGCCAGCGGCCATTTCCAGTGGCCCCCATTTAGTCTGGACAGCGCTCGGTCACATGCCTCCCCCAGGCCATCACAGATAAAGAAGAAAAAGGAGGGACCGGCAGATGACATAATGGTTATGTCACTGGACTCCCACATAGTCAACTGTGGTTTGAGTCCTGGACCCAGCCACTAAAAACCCACACACAGGGCACATATGCATGAGTGCCCAAAATCTTGAGAAGAGAATGGAGGAGAAGGGATTGTGATGTGGCCATCCCCCCAGGGAGTGATTTCTTGCTCTCTGTCTCTTTATCTCTTTCTGTCTCTCTGGTGAGCACGTGTGCCCTATAGCAAAAAAATTCTCAAAAAAACCCCAGAAGATAAAGGAGCGTCATGATTGGCTTAGACCTTGAATTTTCTTTAAATTGGGATGCTCACATCCTTCAGAGGCATGAAAAGACTTCCTGTGGGGTAGAGAAGCTCAGCTTGCTTGCTTGCTTTCTTTCCTTTTCTTATTTCTTTTTAAAAGTTTTTTTGCTATAGGTTATATGTGCTCACTAGGGGGGGGTGAAAAATCAGGAAATCATCCTCTGGAGGGGATGGCCACTCCACAATCCCTTCTCCATTCTCTTGTTAGGGATTTTAGGCAGTTATGCACACTCACCTGGTGTGATCTTCAAGACACAGGGTCTGGGACTCACCACAGAGCTGGCCATGTGGGATCCGGCACCGTAACCTCCAAGCCACCTTCTGGCCTAGAGCTCAGATTCTTTTAATGTGATTAATTTACAGAGCCTGAACCTCTTCTGCAATGGGCCTTTAAAACCTCCAGCGAGCGTGTCTATATTCTCAGCACCCTTCACCAGCTTCATAGGGAACAGCCGACTCTGAGCTCATCCCCCTTCTCACTGGGGTGCCTCGCCGTGGGGCGTAGACAGCACTAACGCTCCTTTCAGGAGTAACGCCACTTTCCCGTCTTGCTCTAGTGTCTGCATTTCTCCTGAGGGTGAAGTCTGGCTTGGGCTGCAGTGGTGTCTGACGGCAGAACAACCAGGGCAGTGACCTCAGTGTATTAATTAGAGAGATTTTTGCTAGAGGACACATGTGCTTGCCAGAGAGACAAAAAGTGAGAAATGACACCCCAGGGGGATGGCCACACCACAGTCCCTTCTCCCATTCTCCTCTTGGGATTTTGGGCACATACGCACACACGCTTAATGTAAGTTTCAAGCCACTGGGTCCAGGACTCAAACCATGATCCACTACGCAGGAGCCCAGTGATGTAACCATTGCACCATCTGCTGGTCCCAAAGCGCTTAATTTTTAAATGTGCATTTAAGACTGTGAGGAGGGGGCCCAGCAGGCACTGGACACTCCCACACAGATGACCATGGTTTGAGTCCCAGACCTGGTGGCTTGCTTTCTCACTTTCCCTCTCTCTCTCTTTGTGTCTCTCTCTGGTCAAATTAAAATGAATGAATGAATAAATACAATTAAATAAATAATTCTTTAAAAAAAAAAAAAAAGACTGGGACCAGCAGCTGTGGGAAGCTGCACACCAAGGAGTCTGCAGAGGTTTCTCAGAGAGCAAACAATTACCATGACTGGTTCCCTTCCAAAATCCTGACCTTCGAAACCTTGCTCTGATTGGCCACTAGAATCCCTCAAATTTGCATATCCGGCACCTCATGATTGGTCCAAAAGCAACCAATCATAACCCACCGTTAACAACCAA